CACCATTGGTGTGTCTGCTGGGTTTGCATCAACCAAATTCAACCTGGTTAATACATCAGCAATTTTCTGTGTTTGGTGTACCAGAAAATTACCTGCCTGGTCCTTCTCCACCTGCAGAGAAAGATAGTTGGAAACCTCACCAAGATCCTTCATGTCAAAGTGCTCCTTCAGCTGAGCTAGGGTGCTTTGGTACAAAGCCTGATTCTTCCAAAACATCAGAAGATCATTAACAAAACATAAACAATACAGTTTGTTTTGCCCCTCCTGCTTGACAAACACACATGGATCAGCTTTGCCTTGGTGAAAACCAAGAGAAAGCAATGTCTCAGTGAGTTTTGTGTTCCAACACCTGGCACTCTGCTTGAGACCATATAAGGATTTCCGTAGTTTACAGACCATTCCCTTCTGTATCTGCACTCCATCAGGTGGAAGCATATACAGCTCCTCCCCCCAAACCCTGTACAAAAAAGCTGTATTAATGTCGTGATGGGAAACGTGCAGTTTCTCCTCTGCAGCAATCTTGAGCATTAACCTAATGCTCTCATACATGACGGTGGGTGAGTAGGTCTCGTGGTAATCCTGTCCTGGTACCTGTGAAAACCCTCTGGCGACCAGTCTGGCTTTGTGCCTGACAACCTTGCCAGTCTGGTCTGTCTGTTGCTCCTTCGGAACAACTTTCGACAACAGATCAGCAGGAATTTCATTACCTGGCATGTAGAACACCGTTACGAGTCCTTTCTGAACACATTCCCTAGCATGTTGCAGCTTCAATTGCAAGTGCTTCGTGCTTTGCTTACAACCTTCAGAAGTCAGCAAAGCCAAACATGCTTTGTTGTCCTGATAAACCTGGATTGGACATTTGACAGGAATTCTCATGTCTTTGCACAACTGTAACAACCATTCACAACCCACAAGTGAATAAGACAGTGCATTCAGTTCAGCTTCACAAGTACTTAAGCTAACTGTTTTGCTTCTTGCACGACCATTCAAATAGACCCTGGTTGTACATGTAGCAAACTCCAGACATACTTTTCCTGTCTGTAGTGTCACTTCCAAAACTCGCATCTGCAAATATCTCAAGACCTCCAGACTTATGATTGTTAAATCTCAGTCTGTAGTCCATAGTGCCTTTCAAATAGCGTGCTATGCGTTTCAGAGCTTTCCAATCCTTAACAGTAGGATTGTTGACTTGTCTGCTTAGCAAATTACAGCTACAGGATTAGCATCCATCAGGTTTAGTTTGGTTAACACATCAGCAATTTTCTGTGACTGGTGTACTAGAATATTACCATCTTGGTCCCTCTCTATTTCCAGAGATAGGTAGCTGGATACCTCAACAAGATTGTCAGCATCGCCCTTGAGCCAGTGCCACCAACTGGACTCATCCACTTCAGCCCCGACTGGGCTAGGCGAGCTGGGTAGCACTTCCAGAGACCACCTTCTGCACAGGAACAGGTCAAAGTGCTGTGGACTCACAGCTTAGAGTTGTGAGCACCGGATTCACTCCAACAAGAAGACAGTCGTTGCACAGCGGAGTACAGCAGAGTCTAGCAGAGTATATAAACAACTCGGAGAGCAGCTCTGTAGAATGTCTTCTTTATTCTATCTACAACTATTATACAACTATATACAGAGCTAAATAGGTCTAAGCATAAATGAATGCTGCACTGCACTGAGTGTCTGCAGCTGCTCTTAGCAGCAACCTTATCTGTACACACGATCTTTAACACTCAGTCTCTCTCTCTCTCTCTCCGACACTGATTGACTGACTTGGTGCTGGAGCAGAATAAGTAGAGAGCAGAACACACCTCCTCCTCTCTGGAGAATCAGCAGACTCCTCAGGAGATTCTTGGATATGAGAGGGGTGAAATCTCCTCATCCTCCCCCATTTCATCCGACCATTTCAAGAATCTTTAATATAACTGCAATTTACACACACACTCCAAAAGTTGTTCTCTGCTTACAACCTTGGTTAACACATCTACAGGTATCTCTTTTCCCCTTTATCTAAGACACTTTAACACATCATTAAACAGTTACTACAATCACTCTGTGTCTATTAGGAAAGAGTTAAATCATAAACCTTAATCTGTAGTTTACACAAAACACATTGTAACTACACAAATGAATAAGCAGCTTCTAGAAAAATCTTCATACACGTTTCTTCCTCTCAGATGCAAATTTACATTACTAAATTAGGCAGATTTAAACAAACCACTTTCAGTACTTAAACACATGCTTGCTCCTTCAATCCTGATCCTTTAAACATATTATACATGAACCACTTTAGGTCAGGTAAGGAAATAAATAAAGCGTTTTGTACTATTACTCTCAGCACACTTCATGCCTGGTTTAAAAACCCCACCAGAGTTGCATGTGACCGCAGCCTTTGCAAACTCTTCAGAAAACCTTTCGATGGTACACCCTTGGTTGTTCTCTTGGATCCGCGCAAAACTCTTTGATCCTCTTGTTCTGGTGCTTCCTCCTCTTTGGGAGAATGGGGAGCTAAAGTATATGAAGCTGCTAAGTCTGAATCAGTGTCAGACTCTCCTGAGGCTTTTGGGCTCTGGTGGGATAAGTCCCACGATTGGAATGTAATAATGGGGGGATACAATCTATTTCAGAGAAACAGACCAGACAAGAAAGGAGGAGGTGTGGCATTATATGTCAGGGATGTGTATACCTGTGAAGAGATCCAAGATTTAGAACCTCAAAGCCAAAGTGAGAGCATTTGGGTCAAAATTAAGGGAGAGAAGAATAACAGTGACCTCATTGTGGGAGTTTACTATAGATCCCCAAGCCAAACGGAGGACATAGATGATGCCTTCCTGGAACAGATGGCTAACCATGCAAAAGGAAGGGAGATAGTAGTAATGGGGACTTCAATTACCCGGATATTTGTTGGATGTCAAACTCAGCCAAGAGCATAAGGTCAAACAGATTCCTCACTGGCCTTGCAGACAACTTCATTGTCCAGAAAGTGGGAGAAGCAACAAGAGGAACAGCCATTTTAGATCTGGTCCTAACCAATGTTGATGACCTGGTTAGTGGGGTAGAAGTGGAAGGATCATTAGGCGCGAGTGATCATGCTCTTCTGAAGTTTACTATACAGCGGAAAGGAGCAGCCAAGCATACTAGGACTCAATTTCTTGACTTTAAGAAAGCCGACTTCATAAAACTTAGGGAAGTGCTGGGTGAGATCCCATGGACAGTAATACAGTGGTGCCCCGCAAGACGAATGCCTCGCAAGACGGAAAAACCGCTAGACAAAAGGGTTTTCCGTTTTGAAGTTGCTTCGCAGGACGAATTCCCCTATGGGCTTGCTTCGCAAGACGAAAATACCTTGCGAGTCTTGAGATTTTTTTCGCTTTTCCCCCTTTATCTAATCTGCTAAGCCTTTAATAGCCTTTAATAGCCTTTTAGCAGCTAATCCCCTAAGCCTTTAAGCCTTTAATAGCCGCTAAACCGCTAATAGCGCTAATAGCGCTAATCCGTCAATGGGCTTGCTTCGCAAGACGAAAAAACCGCTAGACGAAGACTCTCGCGGAACGGATTAATTTCGTCTTGCGAGGCACCACTGTACTAAAAGGAAAGGGAGTTCATGATGGCTGGGAGTTTGTTAAGAGGGAGATACTAAAAGCACAACGTCAGGCAATACCAATGAGACGGAAACATGGAAGGTGCCTAAAGAAGCCAGGGTGGCTATCTAAAGAACTTTTAAATGAGTTAAGATTAAAAAAAAATGTGTACAAAAAATGGAAAAGGGGGGAAACCACCAAAGAGGAATTCAAACAAATAGCCAGCATGTGTAGACACAAAGTCAGAAAAGCTAAAGCACAGAATGAACTCAGGCTTGCTAGAGAGGTTAAAAGCAACAAAAAGGCTTTTATGGGTATGTTCGTAGCAAAAGGAAGAACAAAGAAACAGTGGGGTCACTCAGAGGAGAAGATGGTGAAATGCAAACAGGGGACACAGAAAGGGCTGAACTCCTCAATGCCTTCTTTGCCTCAGTCTTCTCCGATAAAGAAAACAATGCCTGACCTGAAGAATTTGGAGCAAATGATTCAGCAAAGGAAACACAGCCCAGAATAACTAAGGAGATAGTACAAGAATACTTGGCTAGTTTAGATGTATTCAAGTCTCCAGGGCCAGATGAACTGCATCCAAGAGTATTAAAAGAACTGGCAGATGTGATCTCAGAACCACTGGCAGTCATCTTTGAGAATTCCTGGAGAACAGGCGAAGTCCCGGCAGACTGGAGGAGGGCAAATGTTGTCCCTATTTTCAAAAAGGGAAAAGAGAGGACCCAAATAATTACCGCCCAGTCAGTCTGACATCAATACCAGGGAAGATTCTGGAGCAGATCATTAAGCAAACAGTCTGTGAGCACCTAGAAAGGAATGCTGTGATCACCAATAGTCAGCATGGATTTCTGAAAAATAAGTCATGTCAGACTAACCTGATCTCGTTTTTTGACAGAATTACAAGCCTGGTAGATGAAGGGAACGCAGTGGATGTAGCCTACCTTGATTTCAGCAAGGCATTTGACAAGGTGCCCCATGATATTCTTGTAAAGAAGCTGGTAAAATGCGGTCTTGACTATGCTACCACTCAGTGGATTTGTAACTGGCTGACTGACCGAACCCAAAGGGTGCTCATCAATGGTTCCTCTTCATCCTGGAGAAGAGTGACTAGTGGGGTGCCACAGGGTTCTGTCTGTTGGGATTCAAGCCTTTATCAGGAGAAACTGGCCACTCTCCAGGCACCCGGCTTGATCTCCTGTTGACCTCCCTGTCTGCATTCCCCAGCAGGATACAGGCTAGGTCGCGATAGGCGATCCTTCTCAGCGTGAGAAGAACACGCCCCCTCTTTCCTGCCCCCCCCCCCGGGCAGGGGAAAGAGATAGACAGAAACGTATTTACATTCCTTTATTTCTGTCTTTGCAGCGTTACAAAAATCATGTCTGCTCTCTTCAAGCTTCAGCAGTCGAGAGACAAAACCCTCCTGTACTTCCTGTACAGCTCATATTACACTCTGAGCTAATTCCGGTGCCCTCTGCACTGTGAATTGACTGTCCCTCTGTTTCCCACGGAACAGTCCCAACATTCCCATTATGTTTTGCTTTCAAGCTACCAGCTCGCGGCCGCATTGCTTCTATATCGTAACATACTCCCCCATATGAATCAATGTGCGCTACGAGCAAAGCGTGATCCAGAGAAGAAAACAAACAGTTGTTATACATATAACACTCGCCTGTTGTTTCAGTTCCACCCTTGGAACTACCCGCCACTGGTTTCTGTTGGGTTGAAATCACGACAGACGAGTGGTGGGTGTCAAAGGAGAGGCGTCTGCCGCGGCAAGCCCCGGGAACTCTCTTTTATTGAATATTACAAACATTGCCACAGGTGTGCTTGTGGCTGATTGGTTGATACAAACACAAAGCATCTTGTTGCTGATTGGTTAACATAGGTACAAGGCGGGAATAACATATTACATTAATCACTGATAGATTAAAGACTGGGAACGGAGCTGGAACTAGACAGGCATGAAACCTCCTAATTAAATGGTAACTAAAGATTGATATTGAGAGAACATAACATGAAGGAATACAACAATCACGTTCCGTAGATGTGGTCAGCAAAGCATTAAGAACAGGTCAGAATACACTGTTTCATGAACTCAATGGGAACTGTTCAGAACATTCTCAGACTCTTGTGCAGAAGCAGAGAGAAGATTATGAGCGAGACTTCCCAGAATGCACGAGAAAAAGCAATAGTGCTAAAAGCAAGACTTTCCCACAATGCCACAGTTATGTGCAGTAAGAGAACTGCAGAAAGAAAAACTTCCCTTCATCTTCCCCTTTCTTTTCTTGTTTGCGAGGCGTTCCAGGTGGATAAGGCAAAAATACTTCGGGATTAGTGGTGTGCCAGCGAATGCCCGAAATAAGCTTGCCAGGGTCGATGGGACAAAAATACTTCAGGATACATGGTTTGCCAGCGCATGCCCAAAATAAATCCGCCCACATCTCCCCTAAGGTTTACTGTTGGTGTTGCCATTTCGCAAAATAGGCAGCAAGGAGTTTACTGGGTGGTTGAGGGGGAGAGAGAAGCCGAGAGAAAAGACTCATGAGGCTAGGAACGCATTGAAGGAAACAGCATAGCAAAATAAGAATACAAATTATGAAAATAGCATATTGAAAGAGACTACGAAGCCAAGTAAGGTTAGGCAGCCAAGCAGTAAGCCACTGGGTGAAAGAATCCCAGAGGCCAGGAAAACCAATGTCCTGTTTAATGTGATGTGTAAGATTTTGCAAATGAGAGATTTGGCTTTGAATGGCTCTTGAATTGTCAGTAATATTGAAACAACACATGTCATTCACTTGTTCACAGCCATAATGATGAAGCATCAGCAAATAATCGATAGCACGATTTTGTAAAAGTCCATTTTGTAGTTCACTGTTCTTTATTCAAAAGGTGAAGGGCTTGAGAAGTAAAATTCAAGGCTTTTTTGCTGCAGAATAGGCTAAAAAATTAATGTTCATACGATTCCGTACAGCCAATCCAGGGACTCCTAAGAGAGAAACAACTAAAGAGATATATTCAGACCTACTGAGAAGAGAGACAAAAGCATCACAATCATTAGTCAATTCAATATTGCAGCGATAAAATGATGGACAAACGGCTTAAACAGCAAGGTGTGCCATGGCTGATGTATTGGCACATGGTAGGGGAATTCAGCATTCCTTGTGGTAGGACTTTCCATTGGTACCGTTCCGTGGGCTGACTGTTATTTAACACAGGAACAGTAAAAGCAAAGAATTTACGATCTTTCTCCTGTAGGGGAATGGAGAAAAAACAGTCTTGCAAATCTATTATAGCCAATTGATAAGAATGTGGAATTAAATTTGGATTAGGCAGACCACATTGCAAAGGCCCCATGGGTTCAAGGATTTGGTTTATTTTCCTTAAATCCTGGAGAAATCTCCATTTGCCACTCTTCTTTTTATGACGAAGATGGGTGTATTATAGGGGCTAACTGAAGGCTCAATATGGTCTGCCGATAATTGTTCATTCACTAATTGTTTTAAAGCAAGTAACTTTTCTCCTGTTATGGGCCATTGTTCCACCCATACAGGACTGGTAGATTTCCAGCTGAGGGGAAGTGCAAGCTTACTCATTAAATTGAATGGTAGCTTGTAATTGCTGTAGCAAGTCTCTTCCCCACAGATTGAGGTGGATTTTCAGCACACAGGGCTGGATGTAAGCAATGGTTTCAGAGCTATCAGGCAGAGAAACAGGCAGCAACACTATGCATTATGAAGAGGTAAGGCGGCCACCCACACCCCAGACAGCAGAGGCAGACTCAAGGGGCCACGTGGGGTCCCAGCAACTACTAGAAATTACAGAAACGTCTGCGCCTGTGTCAATCAAGCCTTCCAGCACAATACCATTGATTTTATACTTACGAAGAAGTTTCTTCTCACCAATCCTCTGGACTACAGCTAACAGCTGTGGAGGGAAAGAAGAGAGCTCGTGCAAATTAGTATCCATAATAGAAGCAGTAGGATGAGAAGGAGCACCACCAAATGCGCCCAAGACTCACCCTTTTTAATTGCATGGGCATATGGCTCCAGAGTTGAACCATTATTGTGCCTACATAGTCAGGATCCAGAACTCCAGGGATAACCTGGATTCCTTCCTTTGCCGCAGAAAATTTGGGTAAAATTAAACCTGCGACGTTAGGAGGCAGGGGGCCTGCCAATTGAGTGGGCATAAGCACAATTTCACCAGGTAAAACAGAGTCTTTGGTCTCCTGATTGATCAAATCAATGGCAAATTCAGAGGGTGTGTTTTTTGAAAAGTTTGCAGCAGCAGAAATTAAAGGTGGAAATCTCTCTAATTGCCCTGGCCCGAGAGTGGGGCCGTAATGGAGTTTCCCGAACTCCTGCATTGATTAGCCCAATGATAGCCTTTGCCACATTTCGGGCACTTTTTAGAAGGTTTAGCCTTAGAGGCAGCACCATCCTTGTGTGCCCCCCCCCCCGCCAGGGGCTCTGCATTGCTTGGCAAAATGGCCTGGGCGCTTGCAATTAAAGCAGTTACCAGTAGGCCTAGTGGTTGCTTGGATTGCGCCGGCAAGCAAAGACATCGCATGGCTCTGGCTACCGACATCCGCACAAGCTTGAATCATATCGGCCAGGTCATATTTAGGGCGATGTATGATTGACTGCAAAGCTTTCTTGCAATCAGTGTTTGCGTTTTCAAAGGCCAATTTTTTCATCAATTCATTTTGAGCAGTGGTGTTATCAATCTGCCTAGTGACTGATTCTTTCAATCTATCTATAAACTGATGGTATGGCTCCGAATGCTGTTGCTTAATATTTACAAAGGAGCTCAGCGGTTGCCCAGAGACAGGGACTTTCCGACAGGCGCGTTGTACACAGGTCGCGGTGCGAACAAAATGTACAGGTGTCAGTGTTGCTTGGGCAGTTATATCAGCAAACTGACCAGCACCATAAAGTTCATTGGCAGTATGTTGAGGATCAGACAGGGCTGAAGCGCTATGTTTAAATTCACTCTCAAACACCACATACTGAGCAGGGGACAAAAGCATGCGCATCAGGTCTTTCCAGTCCTGAGGTAGCATAATGTAACCAGTTGCTATGCCTTCTAGGATTCCTGTCACATAAGAGGATTTTAGACCAGAATCAGCAATGGCTTTCCTTAATTCTCTCATTACAGAATAAGGAAGCGATTCATAAAAAACCTGCTGTTGAGCAGTTCCAGGGTTTGAATAGGTGATAGGGAAAGCAGACGGCATTTCACCTGGCCACTCAGACTCCTCCTCTAAGGACAGGAGTCCTTTCTGCCTGGCCAAAGAGAGCGCAGTGCGCACAGCTCCTATAGAGCAAACAGGGGCTGTGGCAGACGGAGAAGGGATGGGGGGGAGGAATCAGGCTGAGGTGGAGGGATGGGGGGGGAGGATGCAGGCTGAGGAGGGAGAGACGCAGGGGGGGATTGGGTGGGCTGCAAAGGAAACGGAGGCAAAAGCTTCGGGTAAGGTGGGGGATTGTCTGCGATGGCGAAAAGTGCGGGGGCCGAGCGAGACGCCTGTGGTAATTTAGCAACGGCATCTGCACATTTCTGCCAAGTGAGCAGACAATGAATCAGAGCCCTAGGTTCTGCAAAAAGGGTCTTTCCGATCTTTTGCCAAGTCTCTACGTCCAAAGAACCAGCCTCTGGATAAAAGGGACATTCTAAAGCGATCTCACATAGCAATTGTTCAATTTCTTTTAAGGAAATATTAACACCCACCTCCCGCTGTCTGACTAAATAAAGCAATTCTTTAGCATGCTCTTTCTGGAATTTAGTCAATTCCCCTCCCATACTCACGAAGTAGCGCTGAGACTTGTCCAGTCGGGTGAAGTATGAGGTTTGGCTGCGTAAGGGATCTGGCACGTCAGGGGTCACCAGATGTTGGGTTGAAATCACGACAGACGAGTGGTGGGTGTCAAAGGAGAGGCGTCTTCCCGGGGCAAGCCCCGGGAACTCTCTTTTATTGAATATTACAAACATTGCCACAGGTGTGCTTGTGGCTGATTGGTTGATACAAACACAAAGCATCTTGTTGCTGATTGGTTAACATAGGTACAAGGCGGGAATAACATATTACATTAATCACTGATAGATTAAAGACTGGGAACGGAGCTGGAACTAGACAGGCATGAAACCTCCTAATTAAATGGTAACTAAAGATTGATATTGAGAGAACATAACATGAAGGAATACAACAATCACGTTCCGTAGATGTGGTCAGCAAAGCATTAAGAACAGGTCAGAATACACTGTTTCATGAACTCAATGGGAACTGTTCAGAACATTCTCAGACTCTTGTGCAGAAGCAGAGAGAAGATTATGAGCGAGACTTCCCAGAATGCACGAGAAAAAGCAATAGTGCTAAAAGCAAGACTTTCCCACAATGCCACAGTTATGTGCAGTAAGAGAACTGCAGAAAGAAAAACTTCCCTTCAGGTTTCCCCAGTGTACCTCTCTGGTTGTCTGTCTTCCAAGGAATGAGTGCATCTGCATTACCTTGGCTAGGGAATGTAGTGTTACGCTTAGCAACTCTCTGTTGTGTCTTTGTCTCTGACTTAGACACTGCTTCAACCTGTCTTGAGTTGTCAACAATAGTAACACATGCTACAGCTGAGTTAGCAAACTCTTTTGAATACCTCTTGGGTGGTACACCCTTTGTAACTCTCTCGGACCTGCGTATGAGGTGCTGATCCTCTCTGCTCACTGGTTCAGTCTCAGGACTCTTTGGAGAACCAGTTCCGATAGTAAACAGTGGTTCATCCTTCACCTGTGAAGGTCTTTCCATTGTGTGATATTTCCTCTCAATGACTGTGTCAACTGAGCTCTTTGAGCTAGTACTGTCACTCTCAGTACCACTGTAATCAGTAAAATCATCATCATCTGAACTGTCCTCAGTGGGAAATGTGTGAACAATTACTCTCTCCTGTTCAGGAGCACTCTCTAGAAATTTTGTGAGAATCACCTGACCAGATTCAGATGCCCAGTCTGTCCACAATTGAAACAACGGACAACGTTCAAAGCAACAGCCTGTTCTTCACTAGCAATAGCAGTGGGGGTGTCAGAACTCCGAGCTTCTCTCCCCCTGTCTTTGACATCTATTGCAGCAAGGCGATCTTTCTCATTGAGAATCACGGCACAAATTCTCTCCGTCGAAAGATCTGCGGCAGGTAGAGAACCAAGCTGACTTGCAACCGTTTTATAAGTCCGATTAAGGCCGTTAATAACCATGAAGCAGAATATCTCTTCCTGTAGAGGGAAATTGCGTTCCGCCATCTGCTGGCGTAAGAATTTCATCTCTGTCAGATGCGCTTGTACATCTCCATCAGGCGCTAGCCTTAGATTGGTTAGCTTTTCAAAATGCAGCAACGCTGAAGAACCAGCATCTCTTTGATGTATTCTACGCAGCGTATGCCAAATCTCACGCGCGTATTCCAAATCCTGAATATGCACGAGTTGATCATCTGAGATACACAGAATTATGGCCGTCCTGGCTCTCACATTCTGTGAATTCCAACCTGGCGTTGGTGCAGCAGGGATGGGGTTATCAATCACCCCAAAAATCCTCTGATTCTGAAGCAGGGCTTTCATCTTTACAGACCATGAGGAATAATTGTCATTAGTCAGTGGAGGTGGGTAAGGTAAGCCTCCCCCCTTCTTGGTATCCATTTTGAATCCAAGTGTCAGCTCTCACTCTCAAGCCTGTAAACTCCAAAAGTCTATTGGCTGTTTACTGCCTCACACTTGGCAGCTAAACGCAGGCTGTTTTGAAAGTCCCTCCAAGAGCAGTGAGATATACAGACAAAACAAACGCTGTTTTCTCAGTGTTTCTCCAGCCTCTCACAGTGCTCAGCCTTACTTCCGTTGTTGGCCAGTAACTTTCCACTTTACTGACGTTTCGTTGCTTAGCAACTGGACATTCCAGGCTTATCAAGACTCAGGTATGCGAAATATGTGGCTCTCTTTCAGTGCTGGTTTCATCCAAAAGCAGACACTCAGTGAACCGAAGAATGCTTCAATTCGCGTTCACTCTCACAGCCATAAAATCACCATACCTTGAGGGAATCCGTTGCTCAGCAAAAACACCTCCTCCGGTGCTCAGCCGTCCTTGTAGCTTCCATCCGCCCGCTACCACATTCTTTCTTTATCTCCTTGCAGAGGATGAAGTACAATCCATCAACCTCTCTTGTTGCTTTCATGGATCAAAACCATCCTCTGCTACCATATGTCTTGGGCCCGGTCTTATTCAACATCTTTATCAACGACTTGGATGATGGACTCAAGGGCATCCTGATCAAATTTGCAGATGACACCAAACTGGGAGGGGTGGCTAACACCCCAGAGGACAGGATCACACTTCAAAACGACCTTGACAGATTAGAGAACTGGGCCAAAACAAACAAGATGAATTTTAACAGGAGAAATGTAAAGTATTGCACTTGGGCAAAAAAATGAGAGGCACAAATACAAGATGGGTGACACCTGGCTTGAGAGCAGTACATGTGAAAAGGATCTAGGAGTCTTGGTTGACCACAAACTTGACATGAGCCAACAATGTGACGCGGCAGCGAAAAAGCCAATGCAATTCTGGGCTGCATCAATAGGAGTATAGCATCTAGATCAAGGGAAGTAATAGTGCCACTGTATTCTGCTCTGGTCAGACCTCACCTGGAGTACTGTGTCCAGTTCTGGGCACCACAGTTCAAGAAGGACACTGACAAACTGGAATGTATCCAGAGGAGGGCAACCAAAATGGTCAAAGGCCTGGAAACGATGCCTTATGAGGAACGGCTAAGGGAGCTGGGCATGTTTAGCCTGGAGAAGAGGAGGTTAAGGGGTGATATGATAGCCATGTTCAAATATATCAAAGGATGTCACATAGAGGAGGGAGAAAGGTTGTTTTCTGCTGCTCCAGAGAAGCGGACACGGAGCAATGGATCCAAACTACAAGAAAGAAGATTCCACCTAAACATTAGGAAGAACTTCCTGACAGTAAGAGCTGTTCGACAGTGGAATTTGCTGCCAAGGAGTGTGGTGGAGTCTCCTTCTTTGGAGGTCTTTAAGCAGAGGCTTGACAACCATATGTCAGGAGTGCTCTGATGGTGTTTCCTGCTTGGCAGGGGGTTGGACTCGATGGCCCTTGTGGTCTCTTCCAACTCTATGATTCTATGATTCTATGAATCTGTGCCACCACCTGAATCTACATCGGCATCAGGATTATCATCAGCTGCAACAGCACTTGCCTCCCTCTTAAATGTCTTTGCCCCTTTTGCACCATCATCACAAATGAGATGGCACTGAAAAACGCCAACTCTGTCCCATTTTGGATTGTCATCAATACTCCTGGTCAGCCTTATGGTTTTCGTGTCTGTGATCAGGACACGATAAGACCCTTTCTCATACCCTAGGAAAACACCATGTTCTCCTCGCTTACTCAGTTTGTCACCCTGCACCCATACCTCCGAACCAAAATTTTTAAAATGCTTTACACATGGCTTTCTTTTGTGAAGCATCTCGTATGGGGTGCAATTTACAGCAGACTGGTACCTCCTACATGACAGAAAAATGAAAGAGCTTCAGCCCAAAAGGGATTGGGCAGCCCCGAATCATGTAACAGTGTTCTGATTTCTTGCTGCAGGGTCTGGTTTATTCTGCCAGGGTGATCTGGGCGTGGCAGTCCTATGCTCAATGCCCTGTTCAGAAAGAAAAGCCTCAAACTCCTCTGAACAAAACTCACCTCCCCTGTCAGTGAAAAGACAATGTACATTCTCATTATGTACATTTCTGAGCCATTTACAAAACTGGCGAAACTTGGTAAAGGCTTCAGACTTTTTCTGCAACATATAGACCCAAACATATCTTGAATAGGAGTCTATCAAAACCATAAAAAACCTTGAATTGCCTCTAGAGAGCGCTAGAGGCCCCACTAAGTCTGCATGAATGACTTCGTATGGTTTCTTGGCCTCTCTCCCAGACTCTGTACCTTTGGGAGCTTGCCTTGCCTTACTCTCAGCACAAGAAACACATTTCATGTGGTAGGGACATTCTTTCAACTTCATACCCTGAACCATATCAGGCATTTTTGCCACAGCCTGGAAATTCAAATGACCATAAACACGGTGGTAATAATGAATACATTGGTCTTGCAACTTCTCATTCTTATCAACAGATAAATTGCAACACTCTTTCTCTGTTGCTTCTGCAGTACCTGTACCTGAAACAAAAGGCAATTGGTACAGACCATTTACACATTTTGCATACAGAATGAGCTTGCCATCTTGACGAATTTCACAGCGAGATTTAGCAAATATCACCTTAAACCCTTGACGATCAAGCTGGGAAACACTCAACAAATTGTCCTGAATATCAGGCGCATACAGGACATTCTTAATTGTTGCATTCAGGCTCTTTAAGAACACAGTTCCCTGAGCCAAACTCGTGAGGACAGTCCCATCTGCTTGATGAATTTCTTTCTCTTGCTTCTCAAGATGAACAAAGAGATCCTTATCTTTGGCCACGTGGTTTGAACAGCCAGAGTCGACCACGAAGAAACTCCACCCACGTTGATTGGAGCAGCGAGAGATCAAAGCCTTTGAAGTAGCAGGTGCTTGGGGATTTCGTCCTCCTCCCCCTCTGCCTCTGAAGTTTCCCTTCTTCTTTGAAGTTTTCTTGCTGCACTGAAAACTCAAATGGCCTTGTGCTCCACACGAAAGCACCGCCTCAACTTTAGTGCTTTAACAGCAGCAGTTTCACTTTCACTTTCCCCTGCTGGAGACTTAGGCACATTTTCAAGCACATTTTTAACAGCACCATTTTCCCGGCTTTCTCTAACAGCCTGTCTGCGATCCCACTCATTCAGGAGCACGCTAGACACATAATCTTCCGTTAGCCGGTCAGAAGGCATGGTAGAAATCTGGGCAGCTACTCCATCGTAAGACTCATCTAGGCTATTTATCATCAGCATTGCAAACACAGCCTCTGAAATAGCCAGGTCTCGCTGAACAAGGTCCTGTCTGAGACGCTTTAACTGAGATAGATGGCTAGGCAAATCACCACCTTTCTCCAACTGCAGCCTGCACAGCTTCTTGAAGAAAATCACACTGGAACCAGCATTCTGCCTCAAATGCATATCTCTTAACTTATGCCAAACAGCTCGTGCAGTCTCTTGACCCTCTAAGTTCACCAACAAGTGGTCTGAAACACTCAAAACAATTGTCCCCCAGGCTCTCATATCTGCAGCATGCCACTCAGGTCATTCATCATCATCCTTATCGGGAGGGTCATCTTCTATCGTGTGAAATAGCTTTTCCCTCTGTAAAAGCGCTTTCATCTTGACCTGCCAAACTGCATAGGTCTCAGGTGTGAGGAGAGGAAAGGACAGAGCCATCTGGCCAGAATGTGCACAGGCCATGTCTGCTATTACTTAGAGCAAGACACTTCCCTCGTGCAACACAGATAAAGCCTTGACTCCTTCAGCCACTCTCTCTCCCACTCAGAGCGCAATTAACAGGCAAACAGGGACGCTATCTTCTTTCTTTGGCAGTCAGCAACATACCTCCATAAATCAAGCAGCAGCAAAAGCAACAGCGGCAGCTTGAACACTCTGCTCCAAAACAGCTCTGTTTCTGGGCACCACAAAACAGTCCAGCATGCAGCGTCTGTTTTGCCGTCCGGCAATCAGCAACAGAAACCTCTGGTGACTGGGACGACTGGGACGACTGGTACAACGACTGGTCAGACGACTGGGACAACAACTGGGCCCATAACCGATGTCAGCATCGCCCTTGAGCCAGTGCCACCAACT